TTGTCCAAGATGGCCATTTTCATCTTTCCATCCTAGTTAAAGGAACTGAGAGCCAAGATAAGTCTCTTCCAGACAGACATAAACGAAAAAGCTATGGACAGAGCACGCTGCCACTGCTGGGGATTCTTACTCAAGCTGTTCAACAGAGGATGGTCTATGCCTTTGCTCATTTAGCCTAACAGAGATGACAGATAATAGACTGGAATGAGCTAAAAGGAGTCATGTACTTCCCTTAGCAACACACCAGCAGGGGGTGTGGCAAAATCCAGAGGTTCCAGCCTCGGTTTTCTATTGAGAAAGAGCTGAGTTTGCCACCCCAAAATATGCCCTTTTGTGATATTGATTATTTTAAGTTGGTTATTGTTAAGAAACAAAAAAAACTCAGAAAGACCCTTTAACCCTCCCCCTTACCTGCCTAAAGGAATACAGCTAGAAAAACCTGCTTCAAGAATGGAGCAATCACCTTAGCATAAATAAACTAAAAGTGGTAGATAGGGAGGAACCTAGCAACTTCTGCTTATCAGATTCTTCTCTGTGTCCAGTTGTTTCTAGGTGGCTAGGCAATGATTTGTTTACCAAATATTTGCTCTTTCTTATCTACCTGTGAATTGCCTACTTTCCCTTTGAAGTCCCAGACCCCTGTTTCCCTCTTAGTCCAGAATGGCATATAACTGCCCTATTTGTCCCGAGGTCCCAAATTGTTAGGAAACTCCCGTACATACATACAGAATAAACTTGGTTATTTTCTTTTGTTCGTCTATCTCATGTTGATTTGAATATTAGAATAGTGGAAGAACTTAGAAGGGTAGAAGGAAAATTATTTTTCTTCCCCCACACCATACTGGGCAAGTTTACATTGCTCTCCTTCCTTAGTCCCAACTCTGAAATTTTCCTCCCAAATTCTCCTTTAGAACACAGTCCAGGTTGAATTGGAGTTTGGCAGACTGAAAAATGTGTGCTTCTCAACATTTTTAACAGTAGCCTTGGAAATTCAGTTCTTTTGATTTTCCCAATGCTCAGGGATTGACCACACACCCCCTCACCCAGGACATGAATCAGGAGCAAAGCAAAGGGAATAAACAAAATTGTCAGTACCTTTGAAAAGACAGGAAACCAGGTCCATTTACTGAGGCTTTTTAGGTGCAAATGTCTGCTGAAGAATAAGGAAAGACCTAGTTTAATATCCACTTTCATTTGCCATTAAAATGTGATGATGCAATTCTATATTGTATTCCCTAAATTTAGGTCTTGTTTAGGAACAAGTGTTAAAATCTACTTATGTAAATCAAATGTTGTTAGAATTTAGAAATTCATATTATTTTGTTAATACTACAAAGGGTTCCTGGTTGATAATTGTATCACTCTTTTTTACATTTGCCATCTGAAACTCTTCATCCAGGAACTAGCTGGTTCAGAGAGTGGGAGGTCAGGTGCAAGGCCATACAGCCTCAAATGTGCCCAGGTTTACTGAAGGTGCAGGAGCAATTTCTGCATCTTGTCTCTCTTGTCCACAAGTGTCCATTTTTTTTGCTCCTTGAATTGTTAATTGTTACTAAGAAATAAAATGGAAAACAATGAAAAGAGAATGATACAGATGGAATCAAATTAGACTTTAATGAACCCTTACCATTTCACCATTAAATGGGATAACATAGACATATGATACAAGAAAACCATTCTTATTTTTATTTTTAATCTGATTCAACCACAGCTTATTAGCATCCTGTGTGTGAAATCATTGAAATTAGTGTCATGGTTGCTTTCCCACTTGGCCAGCTGGCAGGGGGCCTAAATAGATAAGTTAAGTATGGGTGACTATCTGGTGATGAAAGGTTAAGAACTGGAGAGATTTGACTTAAGGGTTAGAAATATAAACCTTCAAGATTCTCCAAATTCCTCCTGCATAGTCCACTACGTGAAGCCAGTACCTCTTTACCCACATTTATCAAGCCCTTATTATGCGATAGGCATAATGCTGAGTGCTTAATGCATATTATGTTGTTTAATCCTAGCAATAACCATATGAAGGGTGTATGAATATTATTTCTATTCTACAGAAAAGGAGCCGTAAGCACAGAAAGGTTAAGTGCTTTATCAAAGGTGGTGGTATCCGGGCTCAGACATGGGATGGTCTGACTTCCAAACCCACAGTGCACATGCCACTCCTTTCTCTGCCAAGATGGTGAGGAAATGAATGGCCTCAACCTTTCTGTTAGATGTAAAGTGAAAATAATAATAACTAGGGCTTTTAAACAACTCTGTTTCTTATATGCGTTTTCACAAGTAGGTCTTCTTTTAGGATAGACAGAGTACCAAGATGTTCCAGGACGAGGGTTTAACTACATCACACTTCCATTGCTCCATGTTACAGTCAGACTGACAGTTCCTACTCCTTTCCTACTTCGCATAAAATATATAAAGTTTAGTGATATGATGTCATCCAATGTACTTTGAGCTCCTTGGAAAAGGGATGCTATGTAAAAACACAGCAGAAGTGATAGAAAAACTGTCAGTGTGGTATGTATACAACATAAAATGGAACAAATTATTTTGTTAGAGTTTGAGACAAAAATAGCTCCTCTATCTTACATGTCTATTTTTTAATCATGTGGCATATTGCCGTATCTGTGGTTTTCAAGGGCAATCTGATAGGGAAATGTGTTTGATAGAATGTTGATTGGATTAGTAGTTTAGCATTCTCCTTTTAGAGGAAATCTTGCAATATTCAAAAGAACTTGCCTGTTTCCAAGTTTTGGAAAAACCACAAGTCAAAATGGTGTTGCCAGATGACAGTGTTTCATGGAGGGAAGTTGGCTGTGAAATTCCATATATGAAAGCCCATCCTGACTCTCCTTTATGAAAGATCCAAGAAACTTATTATGATTCTAACATAATAAGGTCACTTTAGAGCTCTTTTTTTTCCAAAGTTACCAAAACATAATTTGTACTGCTTCAACGGAAGTGGGCCATCACCTCAGTAGAAAATGGAAGAAGCTAGTGTGAGATCCAAGTAGTTTTAAAAGGCATGAGGGATGTGAATGAACTTAACACTACTGATCTATACATTTAAAAAATGGTTAAGGGGGTAAAGTCTATATTCTGCATATTTTACCATAATTAAAA